GGGGCTGGGGGCTGGGGGCTGGCAGCGAGGGGCTGGGGTTTCTCCCCACCGCCTCACCGGCTGTTCTTCTCCCGCACAGCCGCACCGTTCTGCAGGAAGTGCTGGATGTGGACCTCAGCAACGAGGCCTTCCCATTCTCCACCCACCGGCTGGCAAGGGCCGCAGGCTGCACGGTAGGACCTCTGCCTCGCTGACCCTCGGCCGGGGCAGGGCCTGGGGGGCAGGAGGTGCCTCCCTCAGGGCTCCTTCTGGGGACTGGGACGAAGCCCTTTCCCCTTTGGCTCCGCCACCTGTCTTAAGACTTTGATCCCTCTTGCTTGAATGCGAGGCGGCGAGGGATGAGGGAAGGAGCTGCGCTCGCTCGCAAAGCGGGCAGTCAGGGCCCAAACGGGACGAGGAGTCCTAAGTGTCCTTCCCTCCACCACGAACGTGTCCACACAGAGAATCGTCTCTGTATGCTGCGCCCATGCACGATCTAGCAACAGGGTGTGAGGGACTTCCACGGCCTGTGCCAAGCGGATCCCCTGCCCTTGGCCCTTGGGCAGGTTGCCCACCAGGGACAGGTGGCCACGCGAAACTGCTTTCCCCCGCTTTGTGAATCGGCGTAACAGGATGCCTGTGCAGCCTTTGTGTGGGACAAATTGCAGAAGGCCACCGGCTTCATTTCCCTCCTTCCAAATGGTCGAGCGGCCTGTCAGGTTGCCCGGTTGCAGGCCTGGCAGCTCTGAAGCAGCCCCAAACTCATCTCCCCAAATAGCCCAGCAGACAGGCGGCAGGTGTGGAGGTGAAGCAGGAAGATGTGATGGGTTTGGGCTGGCAGCATCTGGAAAGGAGGACACATCCCCTCCGCCCCAAAGAAATAAAAACTAAAATTGCTGATTGGCAGGAGCAGTGGAAAAGTACAAGAATGAAGTGTGTGTGTGTGTGTGTGTGAAATTCAACTCACAGTATCAGATGTTTCTACCTAATGCACAGAGCATGGGAAATGAACAAGGAGAGCTGGAGATCCTCACCCAGGAAGACCAATTCGTTGCCCTGGGCATCACCCAAACTTGCTGGGATGACACGTAGGATTGGCAGACAGCCCTGGAAGGCTGGAATTTCTTCGAAAGGAACAGACCCACCAGAAGGGGAGGGGTGTTGGGCTGCACATTAAAAAGCCCATGCCGGTGGGGCAGCTTACACACTGAAGCATGGGAGTCCTGTAAAGAGCACTCAGAGGCAAAGGAGAAATTGCATGGGGCGATTTTGCTCTAAAAATTGCTCTAAAAATTCACCTTGTATCCTGTAGGACAGGTTACTTGCAGGACCGCTTTCTCCCAGGGTATATGCCTGCCCCACACACGCCAATGGGGAGGGCACAGGTGGCAGCCCTGCCCTTAGGAATAATCTCCCCTTTCCCCCTACATGGGTGCCCCCCCCCCC